AGTGACGTCACGCGCCTCGCGCCCCTGTCTCGGCCAATCAGCGGCCGCCCGCGGATTCAAACGGCGGGCGGGGGTGGTGGCCGTTGTGCGCGCGGCGGGGCCGCCAGGGGGCGCTGCGCTCCCCGCGCCTGAGGGGCCGCCATGGCCGGGCCGGGACCGGGACCGGGACTGGGACCGGGACCGGGACCGTACCGCGCCACCAGGCTGGTGAGGCACCGGGCGGGGCTGCTGAGGCACCGGCACATTGCGGGCCGGCCCGGGGGAGCGGCTGCTGCGGGGGGAGCGGGGCGCCGGTGTCACCCGTGGGAGCGCTGGGGAGGTGGTTCTGCCCCTCGGGATTCTATCGCGACATCGGGATGCTCAAAACTGCCCGATACCGCGACATGTGGGTGCCCGGGGACACTGCTCCCTGTCGCGACATGGGGGTACCTGGACACCTCCTGTCCTCTTCCACGGTGCGTGGGTCACACGTGGGCCCTCAGGGACGCTCCCTGTCACGACATACGGCCCCCCCGCCCCGTGTCGCCGCTGCTCGGGACATTATTTTTAATGCCATTAATTGCTCCTTTTACCGCGCAGTGGAACGAGATCACCCGTTATTTCCGAGCGGGGATGCCCGTGCGGCGGCACCGGCAGCGRTTCCGCACTCACGGCAGCTGTTTCACCGCCGCCGAAGCCGCCGATTGGCTCCACCAGGTGCTCCGCAGCAACAGCAGCTTCGGGCCCGATGTCACCCGGCAGCAAACCGTGCAGCTGCTGCGGAAATTCCTCAAAAACCACGTTATCGAGGATGTCAAAGGCAGGTGGGGAGCGGAAAACCTGGAGGACAACGGTGCTCTGTACAGGTATTGAGATTAAAACCGTTCCTTGTTTCTTCTTGTTGAGGATTTTAGTTAAAAATGATCAGGTTTGCAAAAATAATTTGCTTTGGGTGGAGCGTTTTGGGCGAAATTGAATTGTTAGCATCGGTCTGCTCCTCGCAGTGTTTTCCTTCGCTCCTGTGTGTGTCAATGCTTTGTCGATCCAAAGGTTTTGCTGGAATTTAAGCTGTACTCCATTGCTTTGGAGCAGAGCCAGAGTGTTTTGTAGCAGCTCCCTGCTGCGTTTGCTTCTCTTGGACCTTTTACACAAAGGCTCAGTGGGAAACAGAGCCAAAGAGCTCTGAAATTAAAGGTATTAATGGCCCTCACTTCTCACATTCTGGGCTCAGGCTGTGCCAACATCTTCAGCTTGAYTTTGGCATCAAGAAAAACAGCCCAAAGCTAATTTATCGTATGATAAATTAAGAAAATCAGTGTTTTCCTTCTTAATTTCCTGGACTCTTCACAGTCGTACGGAATCATAAGTTTTGTTTTGTCAAGTAATTTATTTGATTACAAATGGATTTTATATGTATTAAACATCTCTCCCATTCATTACAGATTTCCTTCAACATCTCCAGTTAAACCTCTACCAAGCCCACCAAGGGAGAACTTGGAAAACTTGTCTGGAGACAAAGGRAAACTTTTCAAACTGCCCAGTTCATCCAAGAGGCCTTTGAAAAAGCAGGAATTCCTGCAGTCTCTGGTGATCACTTCTGTTCTTTACAGAATTGCAGYTGTCTTTTATTGCCTTTATTCTTTAAAAAGCAAAACTAAAGTCGTTTTCATGGCACTGTTCTGTTGTGGCATCTTCCCTTCCAGCTTGAGAATTAATTTGGATTTAAGGAATTAAGAAACAATAAGAAATTAATTTTATGGAAGGGGTTTTTATTTTGTTTTGGGTTTTATTTGTTCTCAGTGCAGAATTATCCCTGCTAAGGGATTTTAAAGTATTGGGAAAGCTGGGAGGTGAGGTTCTAGAAATTACCTGCAYCATATATCTTTAACATAAATGTAATATATTTTTGGGGGATAAATAAAAGGCACAAATCATTTAATTGGTCAGCTTTTYGGAAAAGATGTGTGTGGATTTCAATTAATTTGATATTTGTGTGTGTGCATAAATGCTGAATGTAGATTCTAGTCCTAAAGGAGGATAATTCACWTACCAATACATTTGGATTYGAAATGTAAAGRTTTTTAYCTTTTAAATTGCTGATTTTGGGRTTGATCAGGGTTTTTCTCAAATTTATTTTGCTTTTTAGTTGTGTGCTTCGATTTCAGTGCTGAGGCTGAAGGAATTTAATGTTCCACAGAATGCTCTGTTCTTCTAATTCTAATTTTTACTTAATTTTTAATYGCCTTGAGAGGCTTGTTTATCTTACAGTATAAACTACTCATTTTCAGGAAAACTTACCAAGACCAAAACCTGATGGAATGGAAGAAAAGAAGGAAGACACACTGCAGAGGAGGGAAATAAGCCAGGAATATGTGCAAGAAACATGGAAAAACATCATCATGATACAGTAAGTGATGAATTACCCAASCACCTTCTCATTTAAGTATGAAATAGCCCAATCAAGCTTTTGCAATTKGCTTTTAATTTTTAAAACTATGTTTTAAATAGAATATTTTTACTAATGTTTACACAGGTTTGCTAAAGTATTTGTTAACAGTGGATGGTTTTAAGGAGTTTTTTATGTGCTATTGCTGAAATATATTTTAAATACCATTTTAAATCCTTGCTGATTGTTGCTGTTTGTCCCRGGGAAAAATGTCCTCAAATTGTCCTGGAAGTGAGAATTTATTAAACAGCTCCTTGGTTATCAAGAGTTTTTGAMTAGATATAGGAAGAACTTGTTTTCCTTCATTCCTTGCAAATATTTGTTCCCTTCCTCCCCCAGTTTGCAAACCATTCTGGGGCTGCCCTCGCTGGAGGAGCTTCTGCAGCCAGCCCAGATTGTTCCTGAGTTTGTCATGTACAACATGAGCAACACCAGCAAACACGGGGTGGTGATTCTGCASGACAAAGCAGGTCAGATTTTGCTTCAGKATTCTTTATTTATAAATAATAATTWAAWAATTCATCTATTTCACAGTCTGTTGTTTCCGCTTTTTTTCCCCAAACTGCAGCACAGCTCAGGGACTTYAAATCCCATCTCATTCCACCTCTGCCATGGGCAGGGACACTTYTCCCTATCCCAGGTTGTTCCAAACTGGCCTTGGATACTTCCAGGGRTGGRCCAGCCACASWTTCTCWGGAAATTCCATCCCAGCCCCTCACAGCAAAAAATTCCATCCCAATTTCCCATCTGACTCTGCCCACCTTCATCATAAACCCCTTCCCCTTTATCCTATTACAATTACATGTGTAGCAGTATTTAAAATCASTTTGAAATTTAATCTTTTGTACTTGAGGTGTTAATTAATACATCTGAGCCCTTATTAGTTATTAATTATTTRTGCTCATGTTTAAATACTGCCCTTATTTGTTTCTATTTCAGAAGACCTCCCTCACTGGGTGCTGTCAGCTATGAAGTGCTTGGCCTACTGTAAGTCACCAAAGAGCTTTTAAGTTCCAGAAACTTCTTTGGAGAGTTGAAAGCGAAATATTTGTGTGTGTGAAATCAGTTGTGATGTTTCRGTTCAGAAATTGGGCAAAATCTGTGTGTGGTTTTCTCTAATGCAGCTTTTCAGKAGTGAAAGGGACTTTCTTTTTCCAGTCCCTGGCTTTGAACTGGACCAGAACATTCCTTACGTTTTACATTAAACTGGGGAGATCAATTTTCYTTGGTTTTTAACAGTCAGCTGTAAATTAATGAGTGCCTCTCAAATGAAACCAGAGATAATGAGCTCTTTTTCCATGTGCTGAGTTTCCTTTTGCTCAAGGAGCTTGAAMTCCCTGTGGGAGAACTGGGATCACTGTGCTTTGGAAATGAAGGAATATATTAAGAGTTTGTTATTATTTTGCTGAAGAACCTATAAAGATCACAAATTAGTTTTTCTTTTTTTATTGTCTTGGTGTGGAACAGAACTGAGCTCATCTCTTCAGTGGCTGCTTGGAATCTCTCACACTCTTTCTGCTTACAAATTGTGCCAAATACAATATTTGTGGATTGCTGACACGATTCTTTGCTTGTGMAACAAGAATAAACTTAGCTTGATTTTCAGAAAGTTATTTTATAATGGAATTGGGAATTTTTGGTGTGAATTTCCTTTCTTCCCCTCTTTTCAGGGCCCAGGAACAATGACATGAGCCAAGGCACCTACAGTGGGTTTGAGCGGGAYGTGTTCAGAACAGTTGCTGATTATTTTCTCAGTCTTCCTGAGCCATTGCTTACTTTTGAATACTATGAACTCTTTGTTAACATCTTAGGTATGTATGAATTTAGCAGCCATCAGGGAAGCTGGGAGTTTAGAGCAGCTGGGGGCCAAATGTGTGATTCAGAGCAGAGCTTGGCCCTCTGATCTGCGTGGGAGCTGGAATCTGAGGAGGATCATCACTGCTCCATTCTAGATTAGTGTTAATTAAAATGTAGTTCTGTCTYATGATTTCCCATTTAAATTGCTGTTTGAGCTCACATTCTAAACATTTAATAACTTACAAAAATGTGCTTRTTCTGCCTGTTCCTGTTGCATGTTGGTTGCAGTTACCTTGTTAAATTGCTTTGGGACTGAACTAAAGTCTTCTTAATTAATATCTTAATTAATATCTTAGCTTTATTGTCTCTCTGCCCAGTTAGCAGCTCTCTGAACTGGTTCATTTTCACACCACTTGCATCTTTAACATCTCTTTCATTCCCTGATAGTTATGTGTGGCTACATCCCAATTCCAGATCTGGGCAGTGGAAAACACTCTGTCCAAGAGGAGAAACGTGACCCTCAGCCTCCAAAAACTCTGCACTTGAACTCTTTCAAGTCCACTGAGTGTCTTCTCCTCAGCCTGCTCCTCAAAGAGCCTGATGAGCAGGAASGTGAAGCTTCCAGGACATCTGAGGAAGAGCCAAATGCCCAAAACCAACGTGGAAAGAAATGGCAGAAACGTGAAGTGACACATCAGCAAAGGAGTGCTGGGAAGCTGATGGGAGGGAGCTGCCAGAATCTTGCAGGATTCAGGAATGGACAAGATCCACCTGGAGTGTTTAGGAAGAGGTGTTGCTCCTTGGAAAGAATTGGAGCTGCTCCAAGTGTGTGTAATAAAGGAGGACCTGATTCTTTCAGGGGAGGTGGTGTGAACACCATCACGAAAAGTGGAAAACTTCTGCTGGAAGAGCATGAAAGGGGTTCAGTGCTGGAGCTGGGCTGGGATAACTCAGGTCCAACACAGACTCACAGCACCAGGAGAGTGTCTGCCCCTTCCCCCCGGGCTGAGGAGCTGTGGGATGGCAGAGGATCAGAGGGAACAGGAACTCACYGCTCCCTCAGCCTGCTGGGCAAGAGGAGCTCCCGCAGCTGCACRGCCATCAACAGACCCATTGCTGAGATCACCGTGAAACCCAGGCCCCAGCCCTGGGGACAAGGACAAGGCAGYCCCTGCGTGGCCATCAGGCCCGAGGGCACTGCCAGCACCATCCAGAAGAGGCTGTGCAGGAGCAGCACGGAGCTGTCCCAGTGCTCTGCCCCCCCCTCCCCTTGTGTGCTGCCTGCCACAAGTAAGGGCTCRCTGCTGCATGTTGTGTGTGGCCTCACTAACCCCTGCTTCCCTCACCTCTGCCACTGCTGCTGGATAGCCATAGAACATGGATTTTTTTATTTTTTTTTCTTTAAATCTGCTGTTTAAATTGTTTAAATTGCTGTAGCTTTGCTAACAAATAGTAGTGTGTAGTATCTTTGGAGTATGGAGGTGTCGGTGATTGGCCTTTCTGCTCAGGTAAGTGATGGAGGAGGCAGGGAGTYKGCACACTCCTGCCTGTTGGAGGAGKTGTATTTTTCTGCTCTTTAAARTATTRTTYTCTGGAAATACTTYTGGGAATATTTAGTGTMRTTYCTTAATTGTATTGTGGTCCTAATTGTACCATAATGAAGGTGAAGATGACCACACAAAGACCTTTACATTCTCTACTGTATTACAGCTGATTTCTCTGAAACATAAATATTATCACATTGCAAAATCAGAACAATTTTGGTACTGAGGTAAAAATATGCTGGAATTTGGTTCAAACCCTAATTGCAGCTCTCTTTGTAATTAACTTGTAGATCTCCTGCAGCCTCACCTGGAACCGATTGCAGTGGAAGCTCTGCAGATCTGCTGTTTGCTGCTGCCACCCCCGAACCGCAGGAAGCTGCAGCTGCTGCTGAGGATGATGGCCAGGATCAGTGGCAATGTGGATATGCCACGGCTGCACGATGCCATGGGCACCAGGTCCTTGGTAAGAGAAGGAAAAGCTCTTCTTAAAAGARTGCAGATGGTTCTTCAGGCTGATTTCTCCCCCAGAATSCYRGGCTGGTTTGGGTTGGGAGGGACCTCAAAGCCCAYCTTGTTCCAGTTTAATCCTGCAGTGCATTAGGTCTGGGTTAAGTTGGCTCTGCAGGCTTGAATCACCTCTGTGTCAAGATGGCCAGTTGAAGATTAGGTTTAGATTAGATACAGGAAGAAATTCTTTATTCAGAGGGTGGGCAGGCCSTGGCACAGGATTCCCAGAGTGGCTGCCCCTGGGTCCCTGGCAGTGTCTAAGGCCAGGCTGGACATTGAGCTTGGAGCAGCCTGGGATAGTGGAAGGTATCCCTGCCCCAACCCAAACCATTCCAGAATTCTATTCTGCAATTCCGTGAAGATGTAATTTTTCTATAGGTTAAGCTTTTTTTTTTTTTTTTTTTTTTTTTTATTACCACTGTAAAATGTATTTTTAATGGAAAGCTCTGTTCAATGCAAAAAAAATTACTTTTCATTCAGATGGGGGAACCACTGTGGCTTTTCCTCTTTGCGTGGCCATACTTGGAAGTTGGTTTTGGAGGATTTGTACCACTGTAGAGTGGAGAGAAGGCAAATAAATGCCCCAGCTGTGTGCACTGAAGCTGTGCTGAACTTTTCCAGTTGATTCAGACGTTTTCCCGCTGTGTCCTGCGCTGTGCAGAGGAGGGAGACCTGGATGAGCTGCTTTCCACACGCTTGGTTTCCTTCCTGATGGACCATCAGCAGGAAATATTCCAAGTCCCAACTTACCTGCAGATTGCAGTGAGGGATCAYCTCGAGTACCTGAAGCTGGCTCAGGTTGGTGCCACAAGAAGAGTTTAAATTCATTTGTAATTGTTACTTCTGAAGGTGGGAAAATGCAAATAAACCCAGAATATTTGGAATGTACAGGTATTAATTGTTATAATGCTTTGCAGCACTGTGTCAGTGGGTGTTCACTTACCCAACAGTACAGAATCAGTTGAGTTCATGCAGAGCCCTTTTCYTTTCAGTGCAAAGAGCAAAAAGAAGAAATTTGTGCCATTCTGCCAACGTATTCCTACTGCAAACAAATCACTCCTCAGGAGTTTGAAGAACAAAAGATCTCCACCTCACAGGCTGCAGTGGCAGAGCTCYTGGAGAACATCATCAAGGATAAAAATCTCTCTGTGAAGGACAAAAAGAAAAAGTTAAAACAGGTGAGGGACAAGTGAGGGGATTTCATCTGCTTCTGCAGTGCCTTTGTGAGGGAAGGGCTCACATTAACATGCCATAGGTGGGTTCAAATTCAATAGGTTTTAAAAGCAAGAAGTTTTTGGCTTTAGGAGACGAAATTCTCTTCGTTCACATTCCTGAAACATTCATTTGGTGGCCTTGGCTTTGTGTTTTGTAACATTTATAGTGCTCAAGATTATCATGCACTTCTCTGGCCTACCAACATCTTGCCTAATAGTAAGGCTGAAACACAACARTTCTGGCAGGATTTAATCCTGGAGGGTTTTTCTCTCTTTTGGCAAGCGTTTCTGCCCAATGGAATAGTTTTGTACTTGTCCTGGAATCTCCTAAGCAAGTCTTGTGACTCCCATTTGAACAAGCAGCTTTTCGGGGCAGGCACGCTTGGCTTTGGTGCCCCTCTGACTTCCATGTGTTGTGGAAACTTTCTGGGCATTKTTAAAGTGAGCCTGGTTTGGTTCAAGATCATGAAAACTTCCTGTATGTAAAGAATAATAATTCAAGTTGAGGGAAAATTGGAGTAAGTGAGAGTGAAGAATGATCCACAGCAGCAGGGGAAGGGGAGAAAGGAAATAATGGCCCAAAAGTGAGCCCAGGACTGGAGATGCTTCAGCAGTGCCAGCCCAGGGATGGKCACTGCCCTGGGCCTGCTGGACACACTCTCCTTGATACAGAAAATTTGGGAATTTCTGGAAAAAAACAAAATTCATATTACTTTCTAACATGTTAGGTCCCAGTTGTGTCAACAGCAGAAATTACAAAGGTTGAATCTAGAAGTGGAAAGGTTTGGCTGATGGCCACATGTCTTTACAGTTTTTCATCCCTTCCTGAGGCCTTGTATGGGAAACAGGCAAAATGTCCAAATCACATTTCTGATTCCAGGTATTTTCATTTTCATGGAATCAATAATCTTTCCTGGAAGAACCTTTCCAAAACAGGCTGAACTGTGGCTCCCTGTTGGTTAAAATCCATTTATCCAAGGAATTCCTGGAAGGCAGCTGTGCAGGCACAACTGGCATGGGGTGTGCTCTGGCACAGCTGGATTTTTTGGTGGAATTTGGGATTTTCTGGTAACTGGTGTTGTGTGTGCTGCAGTTCCAGAAGGAATATCCCCAGATCTACGAGAGCAGGTTCCCAACCACGGAGACAGAAGCTCTGCTCCTGGAGAACAAACCCACCATCAAACAGCCCATGCTGAGCCTCAGGAAACCCAAATTTCGGAGCCTCAGGTATTGATCTCACCCCACCCAAGCAGCCCGAGGGATTCACCAAAGGAATTGCTGCAGGAGTTTGGTGGTGGTTGTGCTGTAAAGGAGGAAATGTTTACATGGACACTGTGCTGGAAGGTGCCAAAATACCTTATTTTTGTGCACATGCTTTAGAATAACCTCTAAAAGAAAAATATTTATCTGTTTACAAATTTTTACAATATATTGGAGTAGGAAAATGTGAAAATAGACATAAAGCTATTGTTAACCAAAAATTTATATATAGATTTTTATCTATATATAGGGAAACTAATGACCTGCCTCTTGTTATAACCTTTTAATGTCTGGTCAGGAATTTGTGCCATTTATTGTAGTTTTTAAATGTTTGTTTGTTGTGACTAAGTGCCTTTTCTATTCTCAAAGTATTTGTCTTTGAACAAAAGAGCTTCTATGAATTCAGAACCAGGAGAGCCAGTTCACCATAAATAAAAGATTTTKTGACTCCCTAAAATGCTTCTGTTCATATCATCTGTAACACCCTCAGCTTTTTCATACTTATTTATATTAAAAGACTTAAAGAATATTTCTGACATTTTGRTGGAAAATTAATTTTGGGTCTGTTGGTGTGATTCTCAAAACAGGAGTGATGGATGGAACCAAAATACACTAAATTTCCCTGGTTTTTCCAGAGTTACAGATTTGCTTATTAATTCTGATAAGATAAAGGTTTCCCCATAGGGAGTATAAATCTGCAGGATTTATTTCTGGCAGAGTGTAATTAATAATGATTAATCTACTGCAGGGCTCTGAGATCTCAGCCTGGTTTGGGTTGGGAGGGGCATTAAARCTCATCCCATTTCACAATCCCAGGGTGCTCCAAACCCCATCCAACCTGGCCTTGGGCACTGCCAGGGATGCAGGGGCTTTTMCTCCTTTTTATAAAAGATTTTGTAAGTTAGAAACCCAAATTAGCCTCATTTTATCCCATATTAATGATGCCTGAATGTGCTGTGGGTCACTTTGTGCTTTCAKAGCAAGGGCAGATGTTTCTCCCTGGAACATCTGTAATCAGCTCCCTCCARCTCTCCAGCACCTGCCTGAATTTGCTTCCCAACCCCTTCCATGTTGCATAAATGCTTTGTTTWTGTAGTGTTCCAGTTAAGTAACTTATTAGGTGAGAAGCTCACATTTCCCAGGATTTGGCTTTCAAAGCCTGCCCTCATTATTCCCATTTCTTGATCCAGGTTATTTAATGTTCCCTTCTAAGGTTTTTACAGAAGTTAACAAAAATGGGAGTAAACAGACAAATGGCCTCAGTGTGGGACAATTCAAACCTTCCAAATCCTGGTGAGGATTCTGCACTGGGAATTCTGCACACCACAGTGGGTGCCTGGCCAGGTGTAAGGTTCAGCAGGAGGAAGGGACATTTTGGAATCTACCTGGGAGAGGATGGGGCCAGGGAAGATGCTGTCACCATGGAAACACAAAATTTTTACCAAATCAAACATTAAGATGCTGTTTTGAGACCTTATCCTGGAATTAATTAAAAAATCTCTGATTTGCACTGCTGAGAGGCCTTGAGTTYGCACTCGAGTTTATATTAAATTTATTTATTGCCAGGAGACTTCCACGGAGAAACTGCCATAAAATTATGGTTATTTAATACGAAGGGTTAATGAGAGGCCTGAGTCAAGGGCTCAATGCAGGATCTTGGTTTTCTGTGAGAAGCCTTAAATGAACCCTTGTCCAAGGGGAAAGTCTGCCTTGAAAGAGGGAGCAAACAAACAAAACCAGGGAATGAAGCCAACCTCACGTGCTGGTTGTAGCAGCTGATGGAACAGGGGGACATTTAATGTATTTTTTTTGGTCCTTTCACCCCAGTTTGGATCCCTGGAGCTGTTTCCAGCTGTCTGGGAGGAGCACCCGAGTGTACATGGGGATCTGAAACACCTTCCTGTCCTGGGAGAGCACAGCAAGAAACTTGGATTTTGCTTGTCTTTGGAATTGCTCTTTACTGATGTTTTCATAAATGTTGGCTCTTCCTAAGGGTGGATCCTGAKCCTGGAGAAGACTGAGGGGAGACCTCCCCAGGCTGCAGCTCCTCCTGAGGGGTAGYTCTGATCTCTGTGAGCAGGGACAGGATCCAGGGAACAGTTGGAGATCAGGGAGAGGCTTTTACCCAGAGGGTGCTGGCACTGCCCAGGCTCCCCAGGGAATGGTCCCAGAGCTCCTGGAGGGTTTGGACAGCGCTGCCAGGGATGCACAGGGGGGATTTTTGGGGAGTCTGGGCAGGGACAGGAGCTGGCTCCATGATCCTATGGGTCCCTTGCAGCTCAGGAGATTCTGTGATGTTTGACACTGGCATTTTCTCATCTCTTGGTGTCTCCAGTGTCACATCATTCCTGGGTGAGGCTCTGGAAGAGCCAGGATGGTCCCTGCAGAGCCGAGTGCTGGTGCCAGCTCCCGGCACAGCTCCAGCATGCTCTGTTTCACTCCTCCCTGGGTTTTTTTCTTTGTAATCACTTCTGCTTGGGAAGAATTTAGGTCTCAGGAAAACAGTGAAAGCCCCTTTTTGTGTGAACAGCAGGACAAAAGCTCCCAAAGCCCGGGAGGATTTTGGTGCTGAAAGCCGGCTCTGTTCCCGGGGTGCTCTCATTGGTGGGGGCTGTTTTGGGACGGGGCAGGGCTCAGCACCCCATAAATGCCCAGCACAGCTCTGGCTCTGCGTTTGGCTGCCTGAGGCTCAGGCYCTTCTCCAGGGAGGATGTACAGCCAGTGAGTATTGCTGAAGCTCCTCTCCATGGGAGCATGACCCCAATGGAGCATTGGCTGGGCTGCTGTGGGGCTGGGGGTTTGGAGGGGAGAAGGGGGGTGATCTCCATGGGTCACTGCCTGTGCTGGTATCTCCCATGACAAGGTGTGGTTCTGCTCTGGGGGAACAAGCTCATCCCTGAGTTCCAGAGGATCCACCAGAATCTGGAGCAGAATCATGGACTGGTTTGGGTGGGAAGGGACCTTAAAGCCCCTCCAATCCACCCCTGCCATGGGCAGGGACAACTTCCACTGTCCCAGGTKCCTCCAAGTCCTGTCCAACCTGGCCTTGGGCACTTCCAGGGATCCAGGGGCAGCCACAGCTTCTCTGGCAGATTTCACCAGCCTTTGCCTGATGTGCCTTCATGGGCTTTGTAGTGGATAAAATTGGAGCCCAACAAATAATGCTTTGCTTAAAAAGAAAAAACGAAAAAAGGAAAAAAAAAAAAAAAGGCTTTTCCAAGAGGTGGGAGATACAAGCTGGATTTTGCTTCCTGATGGTTCTGGTGTCCTGGGTTTGTTGGGCTGCGATATGGGCTGTTCCCTCGGTGTCCTTGTCCCTCCTCGTGCTCAGGACAGTTTGGAGCCCCAGAGCCTTTCCTCACACAAAGCTGGTGCTTCTCCCTCCTCAAGTTCTTTGCAAGTCCTGGATCAGCCCATCCACAAAGATCCATCCATCCTTGGGACAGGCTCCCAGCTCTGCCCCTGCTCTGGGCTCACCCAGCTGTGCCCCTTTCAGGGTGGAGCATCCTGCTGGAGGCTACAAGAAGCTCTTTGAGACAGTGGAGGAGCTCTCCTCTCCCGTGACTGCCCACGTCACAGGTCAGTCTGGGACCTCATCTTCTCCTGCTCTTTGTTGCTGCAGCTGAGGAGCTTTACAAGGGCTGGATGGGAAGGAGCTCACAGGGCWGGAGATTTGGGGTAGAGAAAGTTTGGATTGGATGGGAGGATCTTCAGACATTTCAGCACTGTGTGTCTTCATCCACAGYAGGTGGGGAGGTGAAGAAAAGGGAGTTTAAAGAGCTTGATTGTGCTTAAACACCAAGTTTATTAAATTAAAAAAAAGAGTTTGAAGTTTTGGTTTTTTTGCTGTCACGATAAAACTTCCTTGGTCTGATTTGCCGAGCACWTCCCAACGCTGCCCTCCCACAGGCAGGATTCCCACCTGGCTGCGAGGGAGCCTCCTGAGATGTGGTCCTGGCTTGTTCGAGGTGGGCTCTGAGCCTTTCTACCACCTCTTYGATGGCCAGGCGCTGCTCCACAAGTTCGACTTCAAGGAGGGGCACGTCACCTACCACCGAAGGTACGTGCCAGTTTTCCAAGGAAAAAGAATCCAGAAGGAAACTTTTGCTTGTCTGAAATGCTGAGGACAGGCTGTGCCCGTGGGAGACACCAGTTGTGCTGAGTCTATATGGTTTCTGGAAGAGCTCCAGCAGTGATATCACTGAAGCCAGCTCCAGAGGCAGCATGAGGTTGTGGGGAGCTCCCAGATGGCTCACAAGGCTCCTCACAGGAATCTGTGCATTGACTGCCCAGCCTGGTGTCACCTGTAACAAACCCTGTCCTGCCCTCCCAGGTTTGTCCGCACCGACGCCTACGTGCGAGCCATGACAGAGAAGAGGATCGTGATCACTGAGTTTGGCACCTACGCCTACCCAGACCCCTGCAAGAACATCTTCTCCAGGTACCTGGGCTGCTGCAGACATTGCTGGGATGTCCTTTGGAGTTTCTGCTTCTCAGGAGCCCCTGACTGCCTGTTGCTTCTCTCCGCTCAGGTTTTTCTCCTACTTCAAAGGTGTGGAGGTCACGGATAATGCCCTGGTGAATGTCTACCCTGTGGGTGAGGATTACTATGCYTGTACTGAGACCAACTTCATCACCAGGATTAACCCAGACACCCTGGAGACCATCAAGCAGGTGGGTCTTTGTCCTGGGTGRACAGAGRTGTGGASGGRTAAAACTAAAATGAACATCATGGAGTCACAGAAYGGGTTGGGTTGGCAGGGATCTTAAAACTGATCCCSTGCCACCCCTGCCATGGCAGGGACACCTTCCACTGTCCCAGGGTGCTCCCAGCCCCAATGTCCAGCCTGGCCTTGGGCACTGCCAGGGATCCAGGGRCAGTCACAATCTCTCTGGGCACCCTGTCCCACTCACAGCCAGGAATTGCTTCCCAATATCCCATCTAACCCTGTCCTCCTGTGCCTCCATCCCCAGTCCCTCTCCAGCWCTCCTGGAGCCTCTTTAGGCACTGCAAGGGTCCCCTCTGAGCTTTGCCTTCTCCAGGCTGAACACCCCCAGCTCTTCCATGGCAGAGGATCTCCAGCCCTCAGACCATCTTCAAGTTTGGGTTGGAGTCTGCAAATCAGGGCTCAGTTGGGGGCTTGGAGAGGAACTTCCCACATTCCAAACAAGGATGCATTGACTCACACCCCCTTGCAGAGCCTTCCCACCTSCAGCCAGGGAAGCTCCTGACTCTGTCCATGCTGTTCTCCAGGTGGATCTCTGTAAATAYGTGTCCGTCAACGGGGCAACGGCTCATCCCCACATTGAGAACGATGGGACCGTTTACAACATTGGCAATTGCTTTGGAAAAAACTTTGCCCTGGCCTACAACATCATCCGGATTCCTCCTCTGCAGGCAGGTCAGTCAATTCCACAATTCCAGAGCCAGCRGGGAAACTCTTCCCTTGTGAATAATTCCTTTATCCTTTAAATGAGCTTTGTCATTGAGTAAGGTTTTTTTCGGTCTTCTTTAGGTATTTTTTTTGAAATGTTGTATTGAAAACACTTTCAGGTGGTTTCTAAACCACGAGTTCTGTGTTAAAGGCAGAAACTTGCTGGGTAGACTCTGAAAGTACAGCCTAAATGTGGTTGAGACCTCCATAACCTCTCCCCTGTCCCATTCCAGACAAGGAAGACCCCATGAACAAGTCGGAGGTGGTGGTGCAGTTCCCCTGCAGTGACAGGTTTAAGCCCTCCTATGTCCACAGGTAACATTTCATAGGTTCAGTGGGAACTAGGGACTGTTTCTCACATGTAATCAGCAAGGAAAATTTGGTGATTTAGTAAAATCAGGGTAATTTTGAGCGATGATCCAYGTGCTTAAGATGAGCAACTCCATGGTTTTTGTCCAAGCTGACCTCAGTGAGCCTAATGTGCTCCCCTGCCTTCCCCAACAGCTTCGGGCTGACCCCAAACTACATCGTGTTTGTGGAAACCCCAGTGAAAATCAACCTCCTCAAGTTCCTCTCCTCCTGGAGCCTTTGGGGAGCCAACTACATGGACTGCTTCGAGTCCAACGAGACCATGGGGGTAAGTGTGGGGTCATCCAAACCGGGCTGGACTGGGCACATCCATACTGAGAGATCCAAGGTCTTGGCTTCACCTTCATCTGCCTGAGATGAATGAAGCCACAGCCAAGCCCAGCTGCTGTGTGGTTTGCAGGTGTGGCTTCACGTGGCTGAGAAGAAGAAAGGCAGGCTCCTCAACCTCAAATACCGCACCTCGGCCTTCAACCTCTTCCACCACATCAACACCTATGAGGACAACGGGTTCCTGATCGTGGACCTGTGCACCTGGAAGGGGTGAGTCCATAGGGCCCTGGGCATCACAACTGCCCCTTGCACCAGACACASCCCTCCCTGCCCTGGCACATCCCTGTTGGGGCCTCTGGCACTTGCACCAACCCATCTAAACAYTCACACATGGTGACATGTAGACTATACAGCATGGAGCTCACCAGAGGGGCAGGGAGCCTGCTTGACACTGACTTTACAAGAAAAAAATATTTTTATCTTTTATTTAGTTTTATCTGTAAGAAATGTTAGTGACTGCTGAAGGGTTGATGCTATTCTGGCTCCTGGGGCTGCAATGAGCAGGGTGTGGGTGAGGYTTGAATGCTGCTTTTTATGTAAACTGAAATGGGGCACTGCAAGGGTGACACTCAACCCTGTGTTGGCTGCATACCCAGGACACCCTGAACTGAGCCAATCCTGGCACAGAATCATAGAATTCCAGACTGGTTTGGTTGGAAGGGACCAAAAAACTCATCTTGTGCCATCTCCTGCCATGGGCAGGAACACCTTCCACTGTCCCAAGTTGCTCCAGGCCCCGTCCCGTGCTTGTGTTGAACAACAGCAGTTCCTCACAGGGGCTGTGGTGCACACACAGCTCAGCTCTGCCATGGAGCTGGACTGGGATTTGTGTCACTCTGTTTGCCCAGAGCAGCTGTGGCTGCCCCTGGGTCCCTGGGAATGTCCAAGGCCAGCCTGGATGAGGCTTGGAGCAGCCTGAGACAGTGGAAGGTGTTCCTGTCCAGGGCAAGGGTGGGATGAGATAAACTTTAACACCCCTCCCAACCCAATCATTCTGATTCTACTGACTTTTAGGAGAAACACACCTCCACTTCACCCCCACTTGCAAAGCCCAGCTGTGTTTCTCTCTGTGATGCTGTTTCATGCAGGTTTGAGTTTGTTTACAATTACCTGTACCTGGCCAACCTCCGGGCCAACTGGGACGAGGTAAAGCGGCAGGCGGAGAAGGCCCCGCAGCCAGAGGCCCGCAGATACGTCCTGCCCCTGAACATTGACAAGGTAYTGGAGTCTGCACCACTCCCTGCCAGGGCTTCTGGCCCCATTTACTTCAAATTCAATATTTTAATTAGAAAGGGGAACTTGAGGTATGGGGCTACAGAGAAAACTTTATATTTTCTTTAGCTGATCAATGTTTTTCTAGTTTATTTATATGGCTGCTGAGAGAGGCTGTGGCTGCCCTATCCCTGGCAGTGTCCAAGGCTGGGTTGGATGGAGCTCTGAGCAACCTGGTCTAGTGGATGTTGTCCCTGCCCTTGGCAAGGAAAATGAGATGAGCTTTAGTGTCCCTTCCAACCCAAACCCTTTGATGGCTCCATATGTTACTGTTCCTAGCAGAGCCTGTGGGGCAGCAGTTAATCCCAGAGCTGCCTGGAGCACAGAAGGGAGCAGCCACAGCCTGAGCATGTGTGGTTAAATCCTGCTGCCCTCAGTGTGAGGTCCCTGGAGCTGCCAGCCTGGCACAGAGCTCTCTGCTGGCAGCTGTTGGGTTCCTTTCCATGACCCCGCTCGTGGTGGCCGGTGGGTGGGCTGAGCACTGCCGGGGATGCTGGTCAGCCAAGCCTCTCTCATGGAGCTCATTGGGCCGTGGATCAAGTGAGAAGTGCAAACCCACGTGGCAGTGCTTAATGAAACCTCTGAATGCCTTCAGGAGGGAGGGAAGCTGTGTTGAGGCTGAGGAACAGGACAGTTCTTGCAGCACWGCCAAGAACACGGCAGCAGTCGCCTCCTGCCACTCGCTGAGGCTCTGCTGCACGTCACTGCCTTCCCTGTTCATTGCTGTTTGCTACAGATCTGTCCAAATAAACTAAAAATCCTCTCCAATCTCTTGGGTATTTCTCTTTGTCCCAGGCTGACACAGGGAAGAACCTGGTGACGCTGCCCTACACGACAGCCACAGCCACTCTGCGCAGTGACGAGACCATCTGGCTGGAGCCAGAGGTGATTTTCTCAGGGCCACGGCACGGTACAGAGACAGCCCAGCTCCCCCAGATCCCAGCAGCACCAGTGCTGCCTGCACACCCTGCCCCACTAATCCTCTGCATTTATTCATTTATTTTGCCTGCAGCCTTTGAATTCCCACAAATCAACTACAGGAAGTACGGTGGGAAGCCGTACACGTACACCTACGGGCTGGGGCTGAACCACTTTGTCCCAGACAGGGTAACTATCAGACAATGGGGGATGGCTTCAGTTTGGTGACAACAAAGAGTGTTTCTTAGCTCTAAGGTTTTGGGTTTTCCCCACCTTTAGCTCTGCAAGCTGAATGTTAAAACCAAGGAGACCTGGGTGTGGCAGGAGCCTGATGCGTACCCGTCGGAGCCCATCTTCGTTTCCCACCCGGATGCTCTGGAGGAAGATGATGGTAATGCTGGTGGGACTGGGATTGGGACTGGGATTGGGACTGGGATTGGGACTGGGATTGGGACTGGGTTTGGGAAGGGATGTATCAACTGGTGCCAGGCTGCCACAGGTGGGCAGGAGTAGAGCCTGCAGTAGTTCCTGGACAAGATATGCTGTGTGCTACCACTGGCCAGAAGTTTCTGAGGAAACACGGGAAAATTAAARCCAGAATCATGGAATTTTTGGGTTGGGAGGGGCCTTAAAGCTCATCCTGTTCCATCCCCTGCCATGGACAGGGTCACCTTCCACTATCCCAAGCTGCTCCAAGCCTTGAACATGGCCTTGGACACCTCCAGGCTGGGGCAGGCACAGCTTCCTGAGGCAGCCTGGGCTGTGTCACTGCCTGTGTCCCTCAGCACTGATGGTCACACAACATTCCCGGGATTTCTGGTGTCCCAGTCCGGGGACAGACAGAGCCCAACCCACCTGGGCCACACCCGTTGTGTTCTCACCTTGCAGGGGTGGTGCTGAGCATCGTGATCAGCCCGGGGGCAGGGCCCAAGCCTGCCTACCTCCTCATCCTCAACGCCAAAGACATGAGTGAGGTGGCCAGGGCTGAGGTGGAGGTGAACATTCCTGTGACATTCCATGGGCTYTTCAAGAGAGCGTGACCACCGACAGCAACACCTGGCCTGGGCTTCTTCCAGCTCCCAAAATGTGCAGTCTCCATCTACAGGTGACCCAAACTCCTTCCACAGACCTTTGCATTTGTGGGGCTATGTAATTCAGATCAAGCAGTTCAGTTTTGTCGATGATTCTTCAAAATGGTAAATCAGGTACTTTTAAAAAGCCCCCTTTGGTGTCATTTCCAGTTAAATCGCACGTTTGGGGTGGTGGAGAGGTTTTGTTTWTACAAAATTTAACTTTGTAGCTGAAGCAGAGTGAAAGATGGGTGAAAAGCAGAGAGGAACCTCAACTCTTTTACACGTGGTAACATTGTGTACAACAGGCCCTGMTCTGTTACATGGTTGAGAATTTTTAGCCTGTTCTGAAGGATTATGGATTTGAACCCCATCCTGATCATTGCTGTAGTATCCTCTGAGCAATCCAAGTGGAATCTTTTCTCAGCTGCTTTGGGAATCCCGAGTGGGGAGCAAGTAGAGTTTTGTTGTTCACTGAGGCTGCAAACTGCACACCTTCCCTTGTGTGTTTGCTCTTTTCCCTTTCTTTTGTCCAAGTGCAGTTTCTTGATTTCTGGATTTCATGTTAAAACATGGACATGAAAAAATCAAGCAATTGTTACCCCTTGGGCTGACTTTGCTTCCTTAGAGTGCTATGGATGTTCAGCTTAATCYTTCTGTCTCCCAAAATAAACTTTCAGCTGACGTTAAAAGAGGCAATGGTTGAAAATAAAAACTTCTTGCAAGTAGATTTAAAACCTGRGATTCTTGTTTGTCTTCAATTGTTCAACATTTTTATTCATGGTATCAAAGAATTAGAAAATCTTTACACTCACAGTTCTGGCAAAGGTTTCTTGTTTGAGGAGGCTCCAGTTACATCCTGATGATGGGATAGGAACAGGGAGACACAGCCTGGAACTTCTGCTGCTCCATGATCTTCAAGCACTGGGCAATCACCTAATTAAAAGYAAAATGCAATATAAGCAATRGGCCTCAAACAAACAAACAAAAAMCTCASTAAAACTCRCTCATTCTGGACTTATTTATTGGTTCCTTCTTTTTGCAAAACWCTGAACATTGTAAAATGAACAGATCAGCTCTCACATATTTTCATATGTAGCTCATAAAGTGGGGATTTCAAGGCTCTAGGACTAAAAAAACTTCTTGGTGCTCTCCCATTATCAAAGTTTCCATGAAAATATTTACCATCCACATAGTTCCATAAATATGTACCATATTTAAAAGGGTTGTGTTGTGATYGAACTCCAGCTCAATGCAGGACAGATTGAGATCTTTAAGTAAACAAAGTTCAGCAGTGCAGAGAACATTTTTAYTGCTCATAAACAATCTAACCAGGAAAAATAAAAGAACAAAGGCAGCAGCTTTCAGAAGGAACTTAATGGAGGGARGGATTTCTGCCAATTTCAAATCAATAAAAAGGCAGGGGGGCATCCCAAGTGTACACAGCAAATTAAAAGCAGGAAAATTGCAAAAAAAGCAACATGTTAGGATAAAAAAAATAGAAGCAAGAGGAATTCTGAAGGACCTGAACTTTAAAAAGTGAAGATATGGATGATAAAATGAAAAAAAAAGGATTCAGATGCAGAATCAAATTATGGTCAAGCAAAAGAAGAGGCTCAATGAGGAAATGCTGTGGTTCAAGGAACCAGAATTGAACAGAAACTTTTTGGATAATGGGGAAGRGACATGATGAGAATTACAGACAGAAATTCCATGGAGTGAGAAATGGGACCCCAGGTCTGGAATCAGCATGTTGCCAACCTTGAGTGAGTCACAGGTTTATGTGTTCACCCCTTGGAGAATAAAACATCCTAAAAGGAAAACCCACCTTCCTGGTGTCTTGAGGTAGAATGATCCCATCATCCCAGAGCCTGGAAGAGGAGTAAAAGGCACTGCTTTCTTCYTCTAGCCTGGAGAGGACAGAGTATTGAACAGGCTTAAAAGCACAATAAAAATAGCAGAGCAATGAAAAAAAATTACAGATGAAACAGGCAAATACATCCATGTGAGGAGAACAGGCAGTACTGCTTTAAAATCARTCAGAAACCAGCAAATAACAGAGCTGACCATTCTCCACTAAAGGGGAGATCCTTACAGAAAGACATAGAATTACAYGGAAATTGAAAATATTTTTTCAGCAGATTCATGTTTGTCTCATTAATCTGGGATGTGCTGTGAGATGAAAGTAGGTAATTGAACATTGAAATCCCTGTAAGGGTTTATATTGAATGTCCTTACTTTGCCTTCAGCTGTTTTAGTTCTGGTTCCTCTCCTGCACACTCACTGTCCCAGGCTTGGGGCACTGTGGGGAAATGCCGTGAGTCCACAAGAGCAATTCTTGCATTGGGCCACAGGAACAGAAAGTTTGGACTGAACGATCTCCCACACTACAAGAAAAAACCGAACAACAGAACAAACTCACTGAAATTAATCCTATAAAGGTTTCTACAGGATGAAACAACCAAGGGCAAGGCAGAGTGGAACACAGGATTTGTAAAGCATTAATGACACAGGTCCTGTATCAGCACAGGCATCCTGTGCTAGGAACCACCACCCTCCCCATTGTCTTCAATAGTGCTACTTTACTATTTTAGTATTTATACTTTACTATTTTAGCATTTAATTTTGAATCCCAAGCACTTGCAGGTTTAATTCTTCCACATTTAATTTTCAGTAATCACATCCCATGCTGCATTTCTTCCTTAAGAATTAGTTCTGAGCTCGGGTTACCCAGCTGTGCTTCAGAAATGCAGTGCAGTGACACTTGAGCAGTGTGACAGGTGTGTCCCCAAGGCCTGGACTGGTGCCACCCGTACCATGATGTAGCTCTCACTCCCAAAACATCCTCCAATGACAATGGTTATTTTGGGAACAGCAGCACAGGCAACTGCAGCCATCATGGAGGCCTGGGCCTTCAGCCTGTTGGAATGAGCCTCTGCCTGGAATGAAAATAGATACTTTAGATCCTTTAAGACTTTATTCCAGATTCTCTCCATTCCCACCAAACTTGTACTTTTAAATTGTTTATTTATTTATTTGCTATTCTGCAGAAATAGGTCTGGGATCTAATGGAGGTTTTACTCTCCTTAGCCCAGGACAAAACCTACTGGGCTTTATTGCCTTCACTTTAATAAGARAAATGGCCAATTTTCTGGAGTGCAGAGGTAACAGAGGAATCAATAAGCTGTACTCCAATGTCAAAAGCACTCCAAATTCCAAGTTTTCCAGCCTGCCTTGCCAACTGAACAATATCATTTTATATTAGCATCCCASCCTGCTTAAAATTCAAGTGAGAATGCTCTTAAATCTTTCCACTGGCTAAGTCATTATGAAGCTTCATGGTTTAAACCACCAAAAGTGGTTAAAAAATTAGTTTTCCTAACAGTAATAGTTTTGAAATTCTAACTTTAGGCACAACAAGGACTAAGAGTTGTTTGAAACACATTTTAATGAATATACCATACCTGTGAGATGCTTGCTGGCCCTGCTGGCTGTGGAGCAGTGTTTTGGAGGAAGAGGATGGGAATTCCTCTCTGGCCACAGAGCTGCACAAAGTGGCTGCCCTTGAGAGCAGCATCGTGAGCCAGCTCCCCATTGCTGGCCACTATCCCCACCAAGTACCTACAGAACAAACATGGACAGTTGGACTCTGTGATCTGAGAGGTCTTTTCCAACATTAACAATTCCATGATTTTCCCTTTTGAACCCTAGAAATGATTGGAATAGTGTAAAACCTGCTGAGGACACAAAAGCTGTTGAGAAATGCGTGTCCATCCATTTGGACAGCAAATGTTCCCAGCCATACCCTTCCACATGGCCAAATCCTGTTACTAATGTTGTTCCATAATTAGCCTTGAATTCCTGGAATCTGCTTCCATCCACCAGACGGCTCAGAATCTGCAAAGAAATATACAGAYTTCACTTTACTACAGAAATTGAAGTGAAAATAGGGTATTTCTGCTACATGAAATGCTCAGTTCAAATGGTAGGAGACCTGAGTCATCCAAGATGAGCACAGAAGGTCTTTGGGTGACTTTCTAAATGCTCAATGTGCACAAAACATCCAATTTGTGTCTAGTTTTGTTACCAACTCAAAATTTATGTTAGTTTTACAAAGCACAGTTGTTCATGTGCATAAAAAAGTAAAAAAGAAAAAAACAAACCTCAACTTGTGCAGTTTCAGATTTTGTGCATAAGAAATGCTTGATTCATACAGCTCATGCTTTTTTCCAACACAGTTAAAAGCTGCCTTCAAAGATTTCTACAATTCACTTAAGTGCAGGAATTTACCACTGGAAAAGACACTGGAGTCACATCCCTGGAGATAAAATCTCATGTAGAACACAATGAAAATGGCATGGGCAGCTCTATATATTTCTGCTTTAGCATTAGTGTCTGTCCCAACCTCAAAGAAGTTTATTTTGAGCTGTGTTGTTTTTCAGTCATTAATTTTATAGTTTCTTTCAMAAGACTCAATCTTGAATACTTGGGAAGAAACAAAAAGGCAGGGAAAGAGAAAACCAGAGATTAAAGGGGGCATGTTCTCGAGACAGCAAACAGTGCAAAACATGCTGAGATAAAGCATCTCAACAGTTCATGGAAACATCTGGGCAGCACAATCTGGGATTATTTTATCTCCAGCAGGATTTCAGGTTAAATATTTTCTATAATTCCACAGAACTGTTGCCATCCTGCTCTGTTGCAGGCCTAAGACAGGCTGACAATGGATGAGGTAATAACTCAGAATAACACCTGAAGCTATGGGATAGAGCAGAGTGAAGGGTACAGGAATGAAATGCCTGTTCCCTCACCAGTTTGACAGGAAGAGTGCAGCCATAATCCAGGGGTGCCAGGCCCAGGAGCTCCTCAGAGCTGTACAAAGGATTGTCATGCTCYCTGTCCTCCTCTGGCACTGGCTCACAGTTTAAGGTGGAGACAACATTACGAATACACTCATAGGCCTCCTCTTCTGAGGGTGCAAAGTGGTCAGCACAGCCACTGACTCTAGGAGAGAGAAACATTAACTAGCATTGAATTAATGAATTCTCAATTCTGACAGAAAATCCAAACTCTAGGAAGAAAACTGAGACTCTTCAAATCCTCTCTGGAAATAGGGTGTGATTTTGTTCTGTATCAATGAGCTGAAAGCAGAAGCTCAGTGGAATTTCTGTGCAATCCAACCCCAAATCAAATTCAGAGTAAGGAGAAATTCTTCCCTGTGACTTTTGTGTTTATCTCTTCTTAAAGAAACACATTGAAATTTATTTTCATGATGCTGTTGTTGCAGACAATACCAAAAAGGGAAAAGAGGAAAGCAAACTTCAGGAATTATTTCAAAACAAGGGGTTGCAGCCAAGATAAATAGACAGGAATGTATTCCATGTAGCATAGTTGGGTTAAACATGTGTATTCTGGAAAACACTTGGAAAAGAGGAGATAGTATCCCTCTTCTATAGCTGCTCTCCGTGAGGCACAGAGGAAATGATCTGCATGAAATTGTTAAAGAAGTRTGTGGAACAATGGGGATCCAAATCCAACCTGTCCAGTCCAGCTTCACCCCATAAATAACTTAATTTTATTTCCATATGGCCGATTTAACCCAAATCCCTGAAACTGAGAAGGAAAACCAGTGCAASCACAGGTTCCACTCTTAGCCCTGATCTGAAAAGCCAACACCACATTCCTTTAAAGCTGAGCATGCCAAATTCTCTCCTGTTTTTGAGAATATTCCACATACTGTGAGTGAAGCCTGGCTCCTCCAAGGTCCTCAGGAGAGACATCTTCCCCYGTGGCAGCTTTCACCAGGGGTGGCCCAGCAAGGAACAGAGTCCCAATTTTATCTATGATCACGGATTCCTCAGCCATGGTGGGCACATAGGCACCCCCAGCCACACAGGAGCCACACACTACAGCCACCTGAGGGGACACAAACCACAGCTGGTTTGGGGAGAGGAAAGGCAAAGCTAAGCCCAAAGTTGTTTYAGTAATAAAAAAGGTGCTAAATCACAGTTTGGGAAACAAACTTGAGACAGAAAWACCAGAAGAAGCAATGATTTACTACAAATTTACACCTTTCCTACACATCCCTGCCCTCCCCATGCCACTGTACCTGGGGGATTCCCATGGCAGACATGATTGCCTCGTTGTAGAAAATCCTGCCACCGTGCAGCTTGTCAGGAAACAGCTCTGACTGAAGGACAGGGAAAAGAAAAAGGGRTTTTTATTATTAAGTACAAAAGCTGGTGCTTCCTCTTCATTCATTCCCACACAAACATAGCTGACACTGGGAAGGCCCTCATTAATAATCACTTCTGAACCTTTCACATACAACATTCATTATGTTATTCATTCCTTTASACATTGTCAAATCCCTCTAAAATAYCCACATCCTCTGAAAGCAGAGGTTAAGTTTTGGGATTTTTTGTGAAACCAACTTATTCTACACAAACTGAGACGTAAATGTGGAGAAGGGGAAGGTGGTGGTTCTGTTTATCTGTGAAATGCCTTCAGCAGTTTCTCTTTTTATTTAGTTTTGGATACAATTCTAGGTAAAAACTTTGCATGGGTGCTTGCCCTCAGTGTGGAGATTCTCTTCTGAAGTAAGAATTCTCCTTTTGCTGTAAGAATTTTAAGCCACACTTTTAAAGGCCAGGGAAGTCAGTGCATCACTGGCACAAACAGGACAATAAAATACAGAAAACTTAATTGATTTTGAAGTGAAAATCAACACCTCACACTATGTACTCATTTATCAAAGACACAGGGGAGTTTCTAATCTCTGATTAGGTGGAAGATGCAAGATTAGCCCAAATGATTGAAATAAATATTGGTATTTTCTGCTCTGCAGAGGTGCCAGCAGTACCTGCAGAGGCAGGAAGGCTCCCCCACTGTCCACMAGGTGCACAGACAGCAGCCTGTTCTCCATGGCAATTTCCTGGGCTCTCAATTGTTTTTTCACTCCAATTGGGTAAATTGTTCCTCCTTTCACAGTGGCATCACTCGCAATGAAAACACACCAGATCCCACAGATTTTGCCAATTCCTGTAATGGTACCACAGATATTTATCAGGACTCTCTAAAACAACAGACAAAAAGGGGGGCATACTTTTTCAGGTGTTTTTTTTTATCAGTAATGCTGCATCAAGAAGCTCCAAATCAACTTGAAAATACCACACAGGGAAGAAATCTACCCCTYTTCTCTGGAGTAGCATTTATATATTTTTTTTTAAATCTAAATTATAAAAGAGAAAACCTCAACTAAAATAATCTGCCACTCATGATAATGCAACAGAAAAAAATATAGTTTGACTCCCAGCCCTTGAGATAAAAGGGAAGGCAATTAAAAATTATCCCTGTAGAACTGAAAAATGTAACAATCCGTGATGGAAAAAAGGATTTCATACTGTTCTTTTGGTTACTTTTTAAACTGGAGCTGCTCTTCAAAATGCAATTTTATTGATATTGAATGAAATGGAATTTCATTGAATTTCAATGAAATTGCATTTTGAAGAGCTGTTCCAGTTTACAAAGACGATGTTTGCACAGAAAAAGCAATCATCTACAATTTGAAAAACACTTCAAAATAAATGTCACAGCTTCTGTTTCTCAGAGTAAYTTTGTCACCTCTCCTCTAACAGACAGCAGCCTGTTTGACACATCACCCTACATTTATTGAGGCAAAAATCAGTAGCTGGCAAGTAGAACTGGCAAAATCAGTAGCTGGCAAGAACAAACTACTAAWTCTAGAAGAAATGAAAGAACTTTTTTAAAAAGGTTTCTCACAGATTTCCCAGAACAATAATAATACATCAGTGGCCGAACTCTCCCCTGTTGGGAATAAGAACTGGATAGAAGTATCAGTTTTCCTAGGAAAGCACTTAAGATACTAAAATATTCCATAAACCTTATTCCATGCATCCTTTTTCCTTTCCCCAGCCAACATTCCATTAACCAGGCATTACCTGTGAGGCAGCCGGCAGCAGGGACATCTCCRTAGGGCATGTCCAGCCCTGCCAGCGGGGACAGCTCCAGGAAATCGCCATCATCCAGGAGCAGCCTCAGGCGCTCCCGCACGAACAGTTTCTTGTTGCGCTGAGTGTGCCGCAGGATGGCGTTTTCACCCCCTCCTTTCTTCACCCTCTCGAGCAATTCCGAGTATCTGATGGGAAAAAAACAAAGTTTCGGTTCATGAGAACAAAGCTGTGGGGTGTGGTGGAGGGGAGGGATGGATTCCAGAGGGACCCAGTAAGGTGGAGGAGTGGGGCTGGAAGAACCTCAGGGGTTCAACACCTGCCCCTGGGCTGGAAAAATCCCAAGGACCAACACAGGCTGGGGGAGGAGGGATGGAGGGCAGCCCTGGGGAGGATTTGGGGGTGMTGGTGGRTGAGAAGATCRACGTGGTTCATCCAGAGKAGRCCCCAGAGCTGMTYCCAKGGCTGGAGCCCCTCTGGAGCTGGGCTGGGAGAGCTGGGGGTGCTCAYCTGGAGAGGAGAAGGATCCAGRGAGAGCTCAGAGCCCCTTTTGGGGCCTAAAGGGGCTCCAGGAGAGCTGGAGRKRGACTGGGGACAAGRGATGGAGGGACAGGACACAGGGAATGGGGTCACACTGCCAGAGGGCAGGGATGGATGGGATTTTRGGAAGGAATTGTTSCCTGTGAGGGTRGGCAGGCCCTGGCACAGCTGTGGYTGCCCCTGGATCCCTGGCARTGCCCAAGGCCAGGCTGGATGGGACTTGTAACACTCTGGGACAGTGGAAGCTGTCCCTGCCATGGCAGGGGGTGGCACTGGATGGGCTTTAAGGCCCCTTCCAACCAAACCATTTTCCTTACGAGTTACCCTTTAGCAGACTGAACTTAAATGTATTGCACAGTTTTCACATAAATGGCATGAAAATGAAGAAAAATTCACATTTCCAGATTATTGTTTCTTACAAGGCACAATAAAGAGCAAATGYCTATTATTCAAAGCAAACATTTCACTTTTGTTATCCAAAGCCTGTCTAATAAAGCCAATAATATAATATAATACATAATAATGAGGGTATCAAAATGCACCCTAATTCTGCATGAACCTCCACATTCCAACTGGTCCAGGGAAGAATCCAGCAAAGGACTTCTTTTGTCAGTTCCTGCAACAAGTTTATCTGACAAAAATCAGTAACTGGGAAGTAGAATAAATTACTAAATCTGGAAGACAATCTAAAAGCAGTGAACACTGCAGTGTCACAGGGAGGAAGTGATTACCCAATGTTTCTGTCAAGACAGTACCATGTATAGATAAAAAAATTGAATAAACTGTAAACAAATGTGGTATCACATTTTCGGTCTTATATAAACCAATTTCTTCCTTTATTTCAAACACCTTTTTCCCCCAGATGCATCATGTTTAACTTTGAATGTTGTATGATACACAGACTCACACAGCACTTTGTGTGTGTGMCTCTGTGACATTAGCGTGGCTCCTGCACTCTGTGGAGTCTAAAAAAACTCGGGAGGAAGAACTAAGGATTTTATTCATGTTCTCAGTGCCACCACAGGAGGGCATAATGTGTTTGCCAAACTTTGCTTCCAGCTCGTGGATCACACCCCTGAACAAAGGTCTTCGCAATTTTGCCATCTGATCTTTCAGGACAAACACATTAAACACATTTTCCTGTTTTATCCGTAAATCATGATGGGTTGCAGCACCCATCTCCTGCTCTGTCAGGAGTGCGTGAGTCACCATTTACGTCTTTGCATGCAAAATTCAACACGAAACAAATGTTACAAAGGTCTGAAAAAAGTATTTCTTGGCAATTCTTGCAAAACAACACATGGCACTATTTTAAATACAGTTTGCACCTCGATTTGGGTATTTCAGTCAACACTTCACAGTCTGGTTTGTGTTGGAAGTGACTTAAAGCTCATTTTGTTCCACCCCCTGCCATGGGCAGGGACACTTTCCACTGTTCCAGGCTGATCCAAGCCCTGTCCAACCTGGCCTTGGATAATTCCAGGAATGGGGAAGCCACGTTGTTACATGGGACAAACATTTTCCCAACGTTAGAAGTTTCCAAAGTTCCCACGAGTAACTCTCACACCATGTTACAAGTAATAACACTTCTAAAACCCCACAAAAAACAGCTTATTACCTTTTAATCACAGCCTCGCTGTTCCTTAAATTCTCTTCAAACACATAGCGGTACACGGCGGGGACGCGTCCGTCCAGAACAGGAAATGTTTTAGGATGCCGCTTGGATTTGGGTTGATTACTTARAAATCGGCGGGGAGGCAGGGGCKGTGTCCTTCCCCAGCCCTGCCCCGGCAGCGGCAGCTCCCGATATTCCCTCTGGAACAGGCGGGCCGGGAATTGTCCCTGATATTCCCTCTGGAGCAGGTGGGCCAGGGTTTTCTCCCGATATTCCTTCTGGAACAGGCGGATCGGGGTTTTCTCATTATATTCCTTCTGAAACAGGCGGRYCGGGGTTTTCTCACKATATTCCYTMTGGAGCAGGCGGGTCGGGWWTTKYYCCCGATATTCCCTCTGGAGCAGGTGGATSGGGGTTTTYTCYCGATATTCCYYCTGGAGCAGGCGRATSGGGGTTTTCTCWCGATATTCCCTTTGGAGCAGGCWGATSGGGGTTTTCTCYCRATATTCSCWCTGGARCAKGYGRATSGGKRTTTTCTCYCGATATTCCCACTGGAASAKGCGGATCAGGGRCTGCAGCGGCGCGGAGGGACCGGGGGGCCGCCGGCCCAGGGCGCACAGCGGGGCCGGGCTCCACATCGCCCCGAGAGCTGAGGGACAACGAGTGACAGGAATTAGAGAGTGGATCCCCTCTCTAAGTGACAGTGAGAGTAGATCCCCTCTCTAAGTGATCCCCTCCTCGGCTGAGTGACAGCGCGGCCCCTTCGCCTCGGGCGGGGGTCGTGAGGGGACACCCTGACTCCTGTTCGTGAGGAGACACCCCGGTCCCTGCCCTTTTGCAGGGGTCGTGAGGGGACATCCCTGTTCCCGCCCTTCAGTGAGGGGACATCCGTGTTCCCGTCCTTTTGAAGGGGTCGTGAGGGGACACCCTGACTCCTGTTCGTGAGGAGACACCCCCGGTCCCTGCCTTTCCGCGGGGGTCGAGAGGGGACATCCGTGATCCCGCCCTTTTGAAGGGGTCGTGAGGGAATATCCTGACTCCAGCCCTGCCGCGGGGGTCGTGAGGGGACAGTCCCCCCTCCCGTCTTCCCACGAGGGACGTGAGGGGACACCACCGCTTCCCGCTCGGACACGGGGGTCGTGAGGAGACACTTTGACCCCAGTCGGACGTGAGGAGACACCCCCTGTTCTCGCGGGGGCCGTGAGGGCACAGCCCGGTGCCTGCCGTGCCATGGCGGCCGCGAGGGGACACCCCCGCTCCGCTCCGCTCCGGGCCGGGCCCAGCCGGGCCTGCGGAGCGCGGCGGGGCCGGGACAGCCCGAGCCCGGGCAGGGAGTGCGGGGCCGGGACAGCCCGAGCCCGGGCAGGGAGTGAGTGCGGGGTCGCGGTCGCTCCGCCGGAGCTCCCCGGACCCGCTGGCTCCGCTCCCAGCTCGCCCCGAGCCCTTCGCGGCCCCGGCAGGACCCTCCCGCCACCGCCCCTTCCTTACCCCGTCCGGTCCGGGCCCGCCTCTCGGGGCGGCTCCGCAGGGCGGCCCGCCTGTGTTGTCCTGTGCCCTCGGTGTCGTGACCCTGGTGTCCTCTGTCCCTAGTCTGTGCCACATGTGTCCTGTGCTCCCGATGTCCTCTGTCCCTGGCGTCCCATGCCCGGTGTCCTTTGCCATGTGTGTCCTGTTCCTTGGGTGTCCTGTGCCCCGGCTGTCTTCTCTCAAATTACCTTTCTCATGAAAAAATATTAAAACTAATTCTATTTTTCTCCTTCCATACATTATCCCATCCCGAAGTGTCCTTTGCCATGTGTGTCCTGTTCCTTGGGTGTCCTGTGCCCCGGGTGTCTTCTCTCAAATTCTCATGAAAAATATTAAAACTTATTCTRTTTTTYTCCTTCCATACATTATCCCATCCCTGGCGTGCTTCAGTTTGCTATCGTCAATCATGGCACAACCTTCCAGAAATTACTGTGTGTTGCCTTTCAGCACCTTCATTAAAATGCATCCCTGCCAGAGAGTTCTTTATACATTTTATACATATYAATAAGGCTGGGTAGTGATAATTAAGTGATGACTAATATGTTCATGAGTGAAARTATCCAGCATGGGCTGGAATTTGTAGGTAAATAAGTTATACATGTTATTAAAAATCTTGAGGGTAATAATTAAAATTTGCTGAGATATAATTATTTAAAATAATATTTTTTTACAGTTAGAGCAGACAGGACACTYTTGGTGCTGTGCTCCCTTGTATCAAGAAACTCAATGCGGGTGGAGCTGTGGGAGGTGGTGCCACTGCCCCGGGTGTCTTCAGCTGTCCCATGGGATGGGCCAGAGTCCCTSCTGCTGTCCCAAATCCTGTGACAGGGACAAGGTCTGTGCTGGGCCAGGGGGACCCCAGGGAGCAATGGGTAGAGATGCTTTGTCGGAGCAAATGTAGCACTCAAGGGCAACTTAGACCCTGCAGAGCATCACCACTGCCAGGGCCTCCTAGGGAACAATTCCTGCCCAAAATCCCATCCATCCCTGCCCTCTGGCAGTGTGACCCCATTCCCTGTGTCCTGTCCCTCCATCCCTTGTCCCCAGTCCCTCTCCAGCTCTCCTGGAGCCCCTTTAGGCCCCAAAAGGGGCTCTGAGCTCTGCCAGGATCCTTCTCCCCTCCAGGTGAGCACCCTCAGCTCTTCCAGCCTGACTCCAGCCCTGCAGCAGCTCTGGGGCCTCTTCTGGACTGAACGATGAAATTTAACAAAACCACTGATCCAGATGTATTGTGGGAACCGATGCAGCCACAAGAGCTTCCTGATGGAGCTCATGCATGAATTTAACAGCTGCTGCTCCATTTGGGCTGCTTTGGGGCACTGGGGTTGGTTGTTGGTCATTTCACTTCCTCCCTCCCCTGGTGTAGTCAGAACTCTTCTCTCCCAACACTTTGAGAAACTTGCGAAGAACTGAAGAGGAGACAGAAGTCACTGYGCAGCTTTACAGATCTTTTGCATTTCCTGTGGGATTTCATGTGAATTTTYGAGCTCACTCTGGTGCAGGTGATAATGGGGTAGGGAGGAGTGCTGACAGAAATCCATGTACAGCRGAATACATTTGAGGGGGTCTGAATTTCAGAGGGCTGGTGGCAGTGAAAACAGTGCATGCTCAGCTTCCTGGAGGAGGAATTGAAGATACAAATACTTGGATATGTGTTTGAAATTAAATTTGGGCTCCCTGGTGTTTCTGGGCTTTTTTAAAAATTGACCCATATATTATTTCCCTGGATTCATATGGTTTTTGAGTTGTTTGTTCTGTGAATGTATCTGTGTTCAGTTATAATTTTCATGCTTTTCATTTTCAATAATTGAGTGTTAGGCTTCCATAGGAGACATTATCTGTAAACCACTGGTGTTGCATAGCAATTCCATTATATGTTAAGTTAATGGGCAGATTTTTAAAAATATCTTTTGCACTCAATTTCTTGGCTTATACTGTGGTGGCTTTGGCAGTGCTGGGTTAACAGYTGGACTTGATGACCTCAAAGYTCTTTTCCAGCCTCAATGRTTCTGTGATTSTTTATTATTTTACTGGTTTTCCAATAGATAGAATCAGTGTTCACAGGSAGAATTTGCTGTGTGTWACAGAGGGGACTTTTACTCCGGCTKAAAAGAGTAATWTMATTTCATTCTCATGRAGGTTAAATGCTGTTTGCTCAGATTAAAGGATGAATAATCTTCACATTTCAGTCCCCACATCTCTGAGTGCCTGTTTATCTCAGAGAGAAGGCGTCAGCCACCAGTTTGGACTGGGAGGAAGCCCGGGATAAATAACAAATCCTCTAATTAAGAGCCAACGGATCCTAATTGACTTATGTTAGTCCTCCAGCTGGGCTCAGCCTTCCTCTGCTGTCATGGCATGAGCATCCTTTGTTTAGGGCACACTGAGGTAGGAAAACTCAGCCCCTCTGAGAGGCTGCAGCCCTGTGCAAGTGTTTGAAGTTGTTATTTTAAGAGCTTATTTTAGCGACTCCTGAGCTGAGCATTGAGAATATATAGAGCAGCATTTAGGGAAAGTGTTCATGTGGTGGTGGCTTCCTTTACCATGAGCTGCAGCTCTGCCAGCCAAGCTGAGCTGTGCCATTTAAGGAACACTGAAGCTTTGAGGGAAGTTTAAACTTAGAAACTTTGCTGGAGTGCACCGGATGCTGGGGGAAACCAGAACACACTTTTTGGATTGTCAGACCAAAGGCAGGAGGGTTCCCACAGGGCCCTCCTCCTCGTGGAGCTGCTGTTTCATATTTAGATTTTGTTTTTTAATACCCAAAGAGCTTTTAGTTGGGTTCTGACCATGGTGGCCTGGAAATTGGGCTAAATTAAAGCAGRTTTTGTTTGTTTTCTTGAAAGTACTAACAGACTTGGACAATCCTGCAGCATTTTTCAGGACTTGCATAATTCTAAAATAGATATGATTCAAAACAAATTTGATAAGAAAGCAATTCTCACTTAATGTGTTTACATCTATCCCAAAGGAAGAGCTGGGCCTGGCAAGTGTGCTGAAGGAGACTCTGGATTTGATATGAAATATTAAGGAGTTTATTTTAATTGCTGGAAGATCCAAGAGAACACAAGGAGTTGAATGGAGTAGTTGGAAGATGGGACACTAAATACAGGAGAAGTTGGGAGCCTGATCCTCGGTAAGTAAATACCATTTCCACTGAGGATTTATCAGATGTTCCCACATTGTCCAGCTTCATCTTTGGGTGGTTTGAGGTTTTATGAATCCCCCGATACAGAGCCAGAGATGTCTTCCCAAACTGTGCCAAAAGATGAGGGTGATCCATTGAGTCATGGAAGTTTTKTGCACATTTGTTCATTGCAGCTGTATTACAACACCTCTAAAAAATTATATATTAGCATCAAGCCCCAAGCCACAATTATTTTTCACATCATTTAACACACTATCACAGTATTTTTAACTCTAATTTAGTCTTCTCTGCTTCTCAGCCTGCTGCCACAAAGAGCTGACAAACCCATGRATAATTACATAATAATTCCAGTTGTGGGAACACAGTTGATTTGGAGAAGACAAACAATGTGTCTTCTTGCTTACATCACTGAAAAATATGAATTTCTGGTTTGCCTTACTCCTGCAAAAAAYGCACAGAGCAAAAAGAGAAGAATTGTCTTAAAGGAGCAGAATTATCTTCTGGTTAACACATAATTAATAATGTGTACATAACTACTAGTGTGTACACAATTAATAGTGTGCACAATTCCCTGTTGTAGGGTGTCTGTTTCTAAATTACACTGATATGATATGAACTGAAAAGAACAGAATTATATTCTGAGAATACAGGTAAGTGGTGATGATACCCAAATCAGTAGAAAAATAACCTTAATGGGTCAAAAGCTCTTGGTTTGACCTGCACAGATGTGTGAAATCACTGAGTGTCTGCTGTTGTACAGTTTGAATGTGCAACAACTGTGTGAAGATCTGTTGCTTCCTCTGTTTAAAAGGCCTAACCAAGAGCCTTCTGAAGCAATCCAAAGGTTTTTGTGGGTTAGAAGAGTTGCAGATTCAGTTGCAAACTCCAGGAAAGTGCTGATGGATTTATTTCTCTGTGCAAACACCTGGCACTGAGTACTGACACCAAAGCCTCAGCCTGTGCCCGAGTGTTTGGAGTGCCTTGAGCATGGGTTTGTAAGGCTGTCCCCAGCTAGTAATTGGTGACTGGATGTGGTCAGGGCAGGCAGATAAACACTTGGAGGAAAGGGGGTGAATCACTGAGTAAATATCCTATCGATGCTGGAGGAGCTGCYGTTACTCACAGCACCTTTGGGGGAACGTGACGTAGTTGTTTTCAGGAAAATGTCACTTGAAAGAAGAATTGAGGTTAAATATGTTCCAAATCTGCAGCTCCACACCTTCCTCATGCACCTCTGGTCTCCTTCAGACCAGTCACCAGTTTAACATCCCCCCTTCTTCCCACGTATCCCCTTAGAACTGATCCCCCACTCTGAGGTCACAGCAGAGAAGTTTCCATTCTGTAAATACCAGTGGAGCTGCATCATTAAAAGCCCCCAAAGCAGATGGTCTGGGTTAAAGCAAAAAGGCTTTTTTTTTTTTTTTTTTTTTTTCACAGTGGTAAGATTCAATTTGCAGCTTTCTTGGGGTTTTTTTGTTTTTTTTTTTTTTTTTTTTTTCACCAGTGGAGCAGCATTATAGTGATTAGTGCAGCCTGTTGGCAGTTTCTGTCAGCAATTTTTGCAACCATGTAATATATAAAAGGATAAAAATACTGTTTACTGTGATTTGCTCACCACAGAAAGAGGCCAGAGTGATACAGTACCAAAATCAGGAAGAAAAGCCCTGCAAATAATTTTCTGTCTTCTCTTTTGCACTTTTCCAGGATTTTGGTGGACACAGTCTACGTGGAAAGTCTTACCCTCCTTGTGGGTGGTGGAGCACCCTGTCAGGCAGCAGCCCCTGGGCAGCCTGAGCCATCCTGAATTATGAGGATATCTAAGATCCTTTCCCAAGTCATGCTGTGATTCCACAATCCTTCAGCTGATGGATCCAACAGCCTTGTTGGGAGCAAAGAGGAATTGCAGCAGAATGCTGGGTACCGACCTTTGTGTGCATCCAGGTAAAGAGTTTATTCATTCCTGTTTCCAGTGTTGAGATTTAACCATTCAAAAGGTCTAAT